CACCTGCTTTTTTAATTAGAACGGTTCCTCTAGTTCTTTTGGTCTTTAATCTTTGGCATTAAAATTTAGAGCCAAAATTTCATTTTAGTATTTCAAAAGTAAATTTTAGTAAAAATTAATAAAATTAACTTCGAACGTAAAAAAATGATTAGATACTCAAAAAAAAAACATTCTATTACATTTACTCACGAATTTCTTAAATTTGAAAATTATTCGTAAACATCAATAACTAAATTTTTAAATAAGTATTTAATTATTATTTCTCCACAGGAATTAAAATTCTTCAAAACATTCAAATTCAAACATTTTTAAAATTCAACAACTAATAAGAATATTTTTATAAAACATGAAGATATCAATCACTCCGAGTCTTCGACTCGAATTAATTGATATCTTCATGTTTTATAAAAATTTAAACTCCCATAAAATTTTTCAAAAAAAAATTAAATTATTTACAAAAATTAGAATAAAATTCGTTGCAAAAATTCAATTCTTTTCATAAATAATAAAATTCTTTACAGGATTTCAATTATTTTTAATACAATTTTAAATAAATTTCTCGAAAAATGAAATTATCTTCAAAAATTTTTTACAAGAATTAAATTAGGTACATTTCACAAATAATGAAATTCTTCGCTGAAATTCAAAAGTTTCAAAATTTACCATTTTAATAAAAGTTCTCAAAAGAATTTAATTATTCAAATAAAATGTAATAAAATTCGTTGCAGAAATTCAATTATTTTTACAAGTAATAAAATTTTTCACATGAATTCAATTATTTAAGAAAAAAATTGATAAAATTCTTTGTAAGAATTCCATTATTTTTATAAATTATAAAATTTTTCTGAGGATTTTTAAATTCATTTGTTTACAAATTAATTTTACGTAAAATTTCAAATATTCGAAAGATCTTCAATTAGATATACTTTAGAAAATAAAAACTAGAAATAACTTTAAAAAATTCCGATTATACTTTTTTAAAAAAATTAGTTACATGGGATTTTTAATTAAAAAGTATGAAAAATTCAGATTTTTAAAAATTTTAATTTGAAACCTTTACAAAATTCAATTATTACTAAAAATTGCAATTATTACTAACTTCTCATAAATTCAATTATTATTTGAAACTTTAACTGAAATTAATTTTTAAATCAATTTTTATTAGAAAATTCTACGAGAATTCAATTATTTATATACAAACATAGATAATTTATTGGATAATTGAATATTTTTTTAACATTGTATTCTTTATTCTTATACATAATTCTATCAACAAATTTTAAAATAATTGAATTCATTCGACGAATTTTAATAAAATTTTTAAGAATAATTACATTTTTCGAGGAATTCAATTAAAATTGTATTAAAAATAATTGAAATTCTGCAATGAGTTATATTATTTATGAAAATAATTAAATTATTGCAAAGATTTAATTAAAAAGTTTCAAACAATTGATTTTCTTCGAAAAAATGTATCCAAATTCTATTTTTAAAAATTGAATTCCTGTGAAATTTTCATAATTTTAGAAAATAATTGAATATTCTTTTTGAACTTTGGCAAAATTATTTTCAAATAATTGAATTCTTTTGAGAAATTTTATTAAAATAATAGATATACAAATTATTGAATTAAGAAAATTTTTTGATAATAATTAAAATTTTGCCATGAATTTTATTAAAATTATTGAAAATAATTGAATTTTCTTACTTTTGAAATTATTTATGAAAATAATTGAATTCCTGCAACAAATTTTATTACATTTTTTTTAATAATTGAATTCTTTTGAGCACTTTTATTAAAATAGTAGATTTTGAAAATATTTAAATTTCAACGAAGAATTTCATTATATTCGTGAAATGTAATTAAATTCTTGCAAAAAATTTAAGAAAATAATTCCATTTTTTAGGAATTTACTTTAAAATGTATTATAAATAATTCAAATCCTCAGAAAAATTTTATAATTTATAAAAATAATGGAATTCCTACAACGAATTTTACCAATTTTTTAAAATAATTGAATTTATGTGAAAAATTGTATTACTTGTAAAAATAATTGAATTTCTGAAACGAATTTCATTACATTTTATTCAAATAATTAAATTCTTTTGAGAATTTTTATTAAAATAATAGATATACAAATTATTGAATTAAGAAAATTTTTTAAAAATAATTGAAATTTTGCCATGAATTTTATTAAAAATATTGAAAATAAGTGAATTTTCTTACTTTTGAAAATAATTGAATTCTTGTGATAAATATTGTTATTTATAAAAATAATTTACTTCCTCCGAATTATTTTGTTATCTACGAAAATAATTAAATCCCTGAAAAGAATCTTAAAATTTATGAAAATAATTGAATTCCTGCGAAGAATTTAATGCCAAATTTTTAAATATTTAATTTTGTCGCGAAAATTTATGCAAATTCTATTTTAAATAATTGAATTCCTGTGAAATTTTTTTTTTTTTTTGGAAAATAATTGAATGTTCGTGTAGAATAATGTCAAAATTTTTGTTTAATACCTAATTTAATTCTTTAGGGAAATTTTTAAAAAATAGTAGAATATTGAAAGTCATTGAATGAAGAAACATTTTTGAAAATAATTGAATTTTCGCCATGAATTTTATTAAAAATTTTTAAAACAATTGAATTTTATTACTTTTGAAAATAATTAAATTCTCATGATAGTATTATTTTATGAAAATAATTGAATTTTACAATGAATTTTATTAAAATTCCGGAAAATAATTGAATTCTGTCGAAGAATTTTACAATTTATTTATAAATAAAATTGAATAGAAATAGTAGTAGTAAAAAAAATTCTCAAAAATTCTAGACTATTTTATTTTACTCTCTAAATATTAAAAATTACTCCTCTTTTTCCAAGTAATATTTTCTATAATTTTATCTAATTTTATACAATTTTTTCTAATATAAATTTTTTTTTAATATACTTTTTCTTTCGTAAACTTTTTCTTTCTAAATTCCAAGTCGAATTTAACAAAAAAAAAGATGATTTCGATTTTTTTTTTTCAAGGAAACTAGGATAAAATTATGGATGGAATATATTTTGTCCTGACAGCATATGCTCATATCCTTCCCAAATGTATAACATTGATTGAGCAACTTACAAGAATCAGTTCCATAACCCGCATATGTCACTCACTCCTACACGTATCTCTTCTGATGTAAATATCCCCGAACAAGCAAGCACTGCCCCAAAAACCACATTAAATCTCACGAGCCCTCCTTCTCTAGTGTCATAAAATTACGATTTCTTTTACAGACTTCACATCTGTAGATGAGAAAAATAATCTGATTTATATATAGTATACTTCTACTCTAGAAGACCATGTTGAAAAAAACTGTTCTATATTCTCCATTGATATAATTTCTCATACTCATAAACTTATTTAATAAATATTTGAATTATTTTACTTCCAGTACTTAAGAAAAATTCTCCTTTCGTTAAAAATAATTTTTAATTTAATTTTTATTTTTACAAATAATAGAATTTTTATTAAAAGTTTTCTCTAAAATTAATATATTAACTAACATTCATATATTATCAAAATTACCTAATAATATTACTTTATCAAACTTGGATAAATTAATCTGATTTAATATTCCCTTCTACTAGTTTAAACAGTAATGACATTTGTTATGTCGCAGTTTTTCCATAAAATACTTTTGCTTGGCATTCATTACTACATTTTTGCATTGCAATCGGAATTACGTTATCGTGCTCATAAATAATAAATTCTCCTGTATTTCCTGTACTATAAAGAAGCTATCCAAGTTCCCTTCTTTTTTCTCCTCCTTTTTTTATTAATTCAACTACAGAAGACAAAAGATACTTAAACAGAGTGTTCCTTTTTCAAACACTATAAAAATAAGAAACAAAAGTCTTGTTTTTTTTTCTCCATCCCCTTTTGACCATAGCAGCATTACAAAACTTTGTTATGTATTTTTATTACCAAAAATATTTTTCCGAAACAATCGTAAATTGCTATTAAGGGGTTATGTATTGAGAACGAGTTCAAGAAGACACAGAATTATTGAGATCGTAAAGTTTGATAAACATCTTAAGAGTAAAGTTCGAGGAAGTAATAAAGTGGAAGAGGGATGAAGAAAGAAAACAATGCGAAAAAAAGAAGAAAAACATATAACAACAGTATAGACCGAATGAGGAGATAAAAAACTAGTTCCAAATTTTCAATTAGTAAGCGACAAGTAAGAGGAAGCATTTTCTTTTTATATATATATATATATATATATATATAGTTGAGAAGATCAACAAGGAACTGGGTATTTATTCTGAAACTACCCTCTCGGGCATTTTCTTTCGTCGAAGATTGTTCCGTGGGATATTTTAATTTTCATAACTTCAGGAAGTTTCACATTTTTTGCGTATACATACTTTTTTACTTCTTCACTCAACTTGCGCTGTTAGTGCAAACTTTCTTTAAGGATTTTTCTCAGCCAGAGGAGACTTTTTTTCTTCTCTAAAAAGCAACTATATATCTAATCGGTTTTTTCTTCTTTTCTTTCAAGATGCGCCACATTTTTATATCAGATTATCTGATGAAAATTATCATCATCATAATTAAAAAAATGGTGATAATTTTAAACGATCGTAATTTATAAGTGGCTTTAATTAAAAATTCGAATTTATAAAATTAATCCAATTAATTAATTAATTAACACCGTCATACACTGTAAAAAGAAAGGTACTAATTTTGTATCAATTTTGGGTACTAAATCGTCACTTGGTTCTATTTTAATACCGGAAATCAGCTCTTATTTAGAACCTTTTATTTACAGTGTAGTTAATAAATACTATCATAGTTAATAAATACTATCATATTAATTAACCATATAATTCGTTAATAATTAAAAAAAATGGAAGTCATTGCAACAAATCGAAATAACTCCCTCGATCATTAAAAAAATAATAACAGATTACAAACTAGAGAAAAAAAAAATTATATAAACTTACAGAAGTTAACCTTAGGCTTGCAGAGGCATTCCAACGTTGTCATCTTTGGAAAACAAACAACAACACTCACTCGCGATTTCAGAAAATTTCGGACACTCCCGAACCACGTGTTAAAAACGAGGAAAAAAGGGAAAACTTTCTTTTTAATTCGATCGCGGTTTTAAGTATTACGACACTCCCGATATTTAAAAAAAAATACTAGAATTTAAAAATTAAAACACCCTAAATTTTAATCGATCGCGATTATAAGAATTTCGAGAATTACCGAAATTAACTACTTGGGGAAATAAAAAATTTAAAAACACGTGGTTGAACGAAATTCGCGATCACAATTTTTTTCGAATTGAATTTTAACTAACTAACTAACTAACTAACTAACTACTTAACTAATCTCTAACTAGCATTTCGATTCACATTTATTATGAATCAATCATTGACGAAGATCATTACAGTAATGTTCCACATTGTCCCACAGTGACGATCTGAAAATTAAAAATAAATTTAACACATTAATTTTTTTTATTATAATTATATGTAAAATAAATTTTATATGTAGTAGAATAAATTAAGTAATTGCAGAGCTCGAACCAGTGAAAGTATTTAAAAATAAGGACTTTACGTACCAAAAATGAAAAATTACAGACCAATTACTGACAAAAATATAACTAGTTCGAGTCAAATAAAATAACATTTTACTTAAAACTAGAAATTAAATTTCTAACAATAATTAAAGATGACCAAGTGATAAAATCATTATCAATTCAATTATTATTTTCAAGAATTTTGAACTAAAATTCTTTTTTAAATCAATTATTTTTAATAATTTTCGAAAAAGTTCTTTGACAATTTTCGAATCATTTTGCTGACAATATTCAATTTTACGAAATTCCAATTCTTCAATTAAATATATATTAGAAAATAAAAATTTCAATTAATATAAAAAAAATTTAATTCAACTTTTGAAAAAAAATTTAATTTCAAAATTCAATTATTTCTAAAAATTCACGCTATATTGCTTTTAATATTCAATTATTATCTAAAATTTTAACTTTAATTCATTTTTAAATCAATTTTTATTCGAGAATCCTACTAGAATTCAATTATTTAAAAACAAAAAAAAATAATTTATTGCATAATTGAATATTTCTTAAAATTCAATTCTCATAAAGAATTTTACCAATAAATTTTTAAATAATTGAATTCTATAGACAAAGTTTAATAAAATTTTTAAGAATAATTACATTTTTCGAGGAATTTGATTAAAATTATTGTATTAAAAATAATAGAATTCCTATGAAAAATTTTGTTATTTAGGAAAATAATTAAATTCTTGTAACGAATTTTAATAACATTTTTTTCAATAATTGAAATCCTGTGGAGAATTTTATTATTTACGAAAATAATTGAATTCTTGCAACAAATTTTATTACATTTTTTTAATAATTGAATTCTTTTGAGAAATATTATTAAAATAATAGATTTTGAAATTATTTCAATTTCAGCAAAGAATTTCATTATTTGTGAAATGTAATTGAATTCTTGAACGAAATTTTTGAAATTAATTATATTTTTCGAGAAATTTATTTAAAATTATATTAAAAATAATTGAAATTCATTTTTAAATCAATTTTTATTAGAAAATGTACGAGAGAATTCACTTATTATCGTGAATAATAAACTTTTTTACAGGATTTGAATTATTTAAAAAAAAATGTAATAAAAATTCGTTCCAAAAATTCAATTATTATCCAAAATACATAATAAAATTCTTCACAGGATTTTAATTATTTAAAAAAATTTCATCAAAATTCGTTGCAAAAATTCAATTATTTTCATAAATAATAAAATTCTTCACAGTATTTCAATGATTCAGAAAAATGTAATAAAAATTCGTTAGAAGAATTTAATTATATTCCTAAATAATAAAAATTTTTACAGAATTTCAATTATTTTTAATAAAATTTTAAGTCAATTCTTCGAAAAGTGTAATTATTTTCAAAAATGTTATTAAAATTCTTCAAAAGAAATCAATGATCAATTATCAATTATTTTTATTTTAATAATTTTTGCAAAAGGATAATTACATTTTTCGAGGAATTTAATTAAAATTGAATTAAAAATAGTTGAAATTCTACAATCAGTTCTATTATTCATGAAAATAATTGATTCTCTGTAAAAAAAATTTATTTATGAAAATAATTGAATCCCTGTAAAAAATTTTATTATTTATGAAAATAATAAAATTATTGCGAAGAAATTTATGAAAAATTTTGTAAATAATTGAATTCCTGTGAAATATTTATGAAAATAATTAAAGATTAGCGTAGAATTTTAATAAATTTTTGTTTAATAATTGAATTCTTTTGGAAAATTTTATTAAAATAGTAGATATTAAAAATCATTGAATTGAGGAAAATTTTTGAAAATAATTGAAATTTTGACAAGAATTGTATTAAAATTTTTGAAATTAATTAAATTTCGGAGAAAAATTTAATTATTTCTAAAAATAATTAAAATGTTGAATGAAAATTTAAAAAAAAATGTTGAACATAATTGAATTTTTGCCCTAATTTGTAATTTCTCTAAAATTCTCCAAATTATATCGTAAAATTTAACGATCTTTCACGGACTTTAAGCAAATTTACGGATTTTTTTACGAGTTTTACGAAATTTGACCTATTTCGAGCCCTATAATTGAAATTATTTAAATTATAGTAAAATAAAAAATAGAAATTGACAGAAAAATGTCTTAATACTAAATTTCTAATAACTCGAAGACAAGATAATAGGAAAAGTTATAGTTTGTGCTGAGAGGAAGTCGAAGCACTTAAACGACAATGGTTTTCATTCATCGTTGTCATCTTGACATCCACGCGGTGAGACAACAAAACGTCGCGTAATTACCAACGACCGAGAGCGGTAATACTGTCATAAGTAGTTTGCGATATTGTCCAACCACCAAGAGTGCAATTAAATGAACAGAAATTCAGTTTTCATATATATACATATATAGCTATAATGTCAAGGGGCTAACATTCCGAACAGATGGTTCCCCGTTATCAAATAACGTTTTCGATTCGCATATCAAAATCGATATATATTATATATACGTATGTGACAAAGTTTTGTTATTTAAACATGATTACATCATATTTAATAGCTGGGAATTAATCAATTCAACACTTTTCATTATTAATTTTCAGTGCAAATAATTTTACCATCAATTCTCTATATACATATTAGATATATATTAAATTTCAAAATTTAACTGATTGAAATTGATTCTATTATAATATTGTTCGTTTCGAGAAGGAAAATATGTTTATAATCCTTTTTCGCAAAAAGTTATAAACAATTTTAGTACCTATAATTACATTTATATTACAAGTAATCGTTTACTTAAATCAAATAAATTTTTTCAGTGTATATTTCAAGTGTCCCCGACGTTTATAATTTACTTTTTAATAAACACAATTTCCACGCACCTATTTTCTTATACAAAAAAACAAATTTTCATTTTTTTTTTTTTTTTTGCATATTATAAAACTGTTCGATAAAAGCAAGAAAATAGAAAAATGTCACGTTCGGAAAACACTTTAAGAAATGTAAAAAAGAAAAATAACGAGAAAAGACGTTAAAAAAATGTTATAAAATCATTCATTGATTTTGAATAAAAAAATTTTTATAATATCTTGAATAAAAATTTTGAATAAAAAGATTTTAAACAAATTATTATAAAACAAAAAGATAACGGACAATTGTCCCGTCAAACAAATTTATAAATAAGTCATTTATAAATAAATTTTTAAACAAAGATTAAACAAAAATTTCCAAAACAGAGATTGAAAAAAAGAGATTCAATAACAAAAAATGAAGAATGAAACTTTTTTTTTTCTTTCTCGCAGTCACAGAATGTATAATGAGATGCTGCTCCTGCAGTGCAAATGCGGCAAATTTGTAACGTTATGTATACATATATATAGAGAGACAAAATATAAAGGTTTCCGAGAAATTTATGGAAGGACAATAATAAACGATTATCGATTTCGTATCTGTCCTATATGTCAGATAGTTTCATTTCCATCGTTTGTCACTCAAATCCCAAAGCGATTATTACTAAATGCAATTACTTTACGCTTCCAGCCAATTTTCATTTCATCCAAATCGGGTTCAATCGTGTATGCACACGCAAGTTTCCATTCTGTTCAATACGTAATGTGGACATATTTCTGCGTCGCACGTACGCAACGATTTTACTACGTGCAAAAAGTTATACCTGGCCACTTTTAAATTCACTTGTTCTCACTTGTCGTCGCTCATTTATTGTATATATAAATATATATGTAAAAATTTCGGTAATAATTTAATATCGACAAATTAAAAAAAACAATGAAATAACAAAATAAAAAACAAGAAATAATTATTTTGTTTTTTCTTGACTTTTCCCTGATTTCCAGAAAATTTTTTTGACTCTTTTTTCCTGACCCTAAAAAATATTTTGATTCACTATAAATTATTAGATACTCAAAAAAAATGTTCTATTACACATATTTACGAATTTCTCTAATTGTAAAATTATTCAAAAACATATTTACGAATTTCTCTAATTGCAAAATTATTCAAAAACATCAATAGTTTTATAAAATATCAAGAAAATTATAAATCCTTCAAATCAAATATTTTCATCCAAGTCAATAGAGTTTTGTTTAAAATAAATATTTAATAAATATTATTTTTCCATGAGAATTAAAATTTTACAAAATTTCAAATTTAAACCTTTTGTAATTCTATAACTTTTAAAACAATTATTATAAAAGATGAAGAAATTGATCACTCCGAGTCTTCGACTTGGAGCAATCGTTATATTCATCTTTTATAATAATTTAAATTTTCATAAAATTTTCATAAAATTTTACAAAAAAAATATTAAATTATTTACAAAAATTTTAATAAAATTCTTCGCCAGAATTCAATTATTTTTACAAAAAATAAAATTTTCCACATGAATAATTCAATTATTTTAAAAAATAATAAAACTTATTGCTGAATTCCAATTATTTTTAATACAATTTTAAATAAATTCCTCGAAAATTGTAATTAATTTCAAAAATTTCTTGCAAGAATTACATTATTTTTATAAATAATAAAATTCTTCACAGGATTTCAATTATTTAAACAAAATATAATAAAAATTAGTTGCAAGAATTCAATTATTTTCCTAAATACATAATAAAATTCTTCA